AGGTTCGGGGCACACTCGAGGGCACCGAAAATAATTGGTGTTTTGGAGACAAATGGCGCCATTTGGCACGGTTTAGAACTATGATTCAACTAGAGGTTTTTTTTGGTGAGTTTTTAAATCAGAAATCGAAAGGGGGGGGGGGGTGTCAGGACCTCCCACCCCCCTGTCAACCCCATAAATCCGCCACTGATGCGCATATCGTACTGGGTAGGCCTACATGAAAACCTGCAAATCCCTGATGTTTAGTAAGTCTTATACATAGGGTGTATTCCCAGAGCTTTAGATAGATCCAGAGATTAAGATTTAGATCGATCTAACTCCCTGGGGGTTCACGCTAAATTGCAGTCAGCCGAGCGCGCACCATAGTTAATTACCCCCTTACAGCTTTCAGGAGGCGGGACAGACGCTTAAGCCGGCTAAGCTGACAGTAATCTAGTGAGACTCCCCACAGGGATAGATCGATCCAAAATATATGGAAATGGGGTCATAGACTTTGGTGCTATTCATCTATGTATTTTATTATTATTATCATCATTTTTATTGTTGCTATTAGGCCTACTTTATCTCTGTAGCCTACATTTTCACCAGCTCAGTCTGGTGCAGAAAGTATATGAATATTTAGCATAGGCCTATATAGGCCTATATATAAACAGTGCCTAAATCACAGCTAGATGGCCTATAAACACAGGGTAAACACCAATTTTTTATTGGTCAGTCTTTGTCGACGAGATGTTTCTCTTTGGATCTGTCGTCTCCGAATGCTGAAGAGAGAGACATACGGGGCGGATTCCACAATTTTGCAATCAACTTCACGATATCCCCTAAGATAGGCCTATAAGACCATATCAGGAGAATTGTGGAGGAAAGGAAGCGAATGAAGTTATCCGCGGCATGTGTTTGGCACTGATTTAGCAGCAATTGGAAATATTATTTCTTTTTGTTGAAGGCGAACGTTTTGATACGACAAGATAGGCCTAAATGTAGGAGTTTAGAGATGGGAGTCCTGCCACTGGGTCTTTCTCATTTGGTCTTGTTAAATATCTGTTGTGTTTGCTCAAAAACAATTCTTGTATTTTAGCTCAAAGTTGATATAAATATATAAACATAGACTATTAAAATAAATTTAGGTCTAAGATATTTTATATGTTCAGTTTTCCAGTAACAATTTACTCTTTCTTCCCAAACTGCGTATGATATCAAGCAGGTGCCCGGATGCTAAATCATATGACCCGATGACCTTTGACGTCATTTGCGCTGTTACGAGGGAAAATGGCAACGAAGTGTTCGCCCAGCGGGACTGAACAGGCTGTTGGCACCAGATCGGAGCGATGTGAGTAATTTTAGTGCTTTCAAAGCGTATATGTTAAGTTGTCAAACCGACCTGGCTAAAAGTCTCACAACGCCAAGTGCAAAGCGAGCTGTAAATGTGTGACCTACTTTTCGATTCACCGCAACTCCATGTGACGTACGATAGTGTTCGCTAAGGTGTATTGATTTTAGGGGGAATTTAGAGCTTGATGCGAAATTTGTCCGTTTTCAAAGTCACGTTTTATGGTGACATATGTCTCAACTAGTACCCTATTTAAATAACATGATGCCTTGGTGTGTCTGCGTGTGTGCATTCAGCATTTTTCAGAATTATGTTTTTTTTTTAACATTTACAATATATATATATATATATTGTATATATACAATTTTTAATGGTGAAGCGGTGGTAGTGATGTATTTGTTCTTTATAACAATATTACTAATTACTTAATATCTTCATAACATTAATATCAATGACAAAACCATACATTCTGAATAAAAGAGTGGAGATATTGAAGTTGGAAGTGTTAAAAGTTCATTTTCCCCAGTAAAAGAAGAAAGACGATGACCAAGGCTACTCCAAAATTGATGTTAATTTTTCAATCCAGATAGAAAGTGTTATTTGAGTGAAAAATATTAATATATTACATATAGTATTTTCTAGTTCAAAGTGAAAAATAAATATTTGGATTTTCCAATGAAAATGTACTTTTGAATATGTCTGCATGTAAAACGAGTCACATATTCACTTTCGATGCAATGAAATATCAAGTTTTAAAAGACAAGCAAATCAGAAACTTATATTCCAACTTTTTCAGCATTAGTTAATTTAAAAGCCCTGTTTTAATACTTTTTATAAATTTCATCTCTGATTTGTCTCGTCTTTTTTTCCCTCTAAGTCAATGTTTGGAAGAATTTAATATCATCAATGGTATAGATGCTAATGAAATTATTGGTATCATTTTAAACTTGAAACAAGGAATGCAATAGATATGTATATCTGATATATTTGTTACTGTAGGTACAGGTACCTGCAGGATTTCAGTGCCATCCTCCCCTCTTTTACCTATCCCCATACTTAAAATAGGTGTTATATACCATTTCTAATTAAAAGGGCAACTCCATGTGTTTTTCCTGCCAAAATGAATTGTTAGAGGTTCTCTTTACACACTTGAAAATCCCCCATTGTCATATGTATATTATGTAAAACTTTTTATATTTTCAAATTCAGACCCTAAAGACAATAGAATCCTTAAAATAACAGACATGCTGAAACTGTCGGTCATGACCGGGAAAATTTGTCTGGACTGGTAGAAAATTGGACTTAGTCGGTCCAAAGGACCGACAAGAGTTTTAAGAACTACAATTTTGAATTTACAGTCATCTTTCGACATACTATACTCATAAAATTATATAAAACCCAAAGCGTTATTTCCCTTCCATTTCAAAACTATCACATTCACAAACAAAGTAAGCTACCCTGGTAGTATCTGTCTCAAACGAATAGAGTGATTTTCGGTCCAACAAAAATCCATTCAGTCCGGCAAATTTTTCATTACTGCCGGTCCAAATGTCCAGCCATTTTGAAAAGTTTTCAGTATGTCTGAAATAAAAAGTTACATGAAGTGTGCTTTGAGTCATTTTTATCTTCCCAGATTTCTCAGATAGCCATTGTCAGCTTGCAACATCAGTATTATATAGGGCACAGGACCGCGATACAAAACATTCTGCCATTTTCTTGTGTGAAAACAAGACAATCTGCAATATTGTAGATATTGTTTATAATGACTGGTCATTCATTTAAACTGAAGTAATGAATAAAAAATGGATTAAAACATCGAATCCAAGTGCGAGTTTCAAGCGATTATTCATGAATAGGAGAAAATTGCTCTTTTCTCCAGGAATATTCATCTTGGCAAGAAAATTCCATGGAATGTCCCTTAAAATTAATTAAGTTCTACATGGCTGGCCAGAAAGTGGGGCTCTCATGTAGTCTTCCTGATATTTCGGAAGAAAATAGCAGCAACAGATACTTTTATTTGAGATGTTCCTTTCATTGCTGTTGAAGTTGTGTAGGGTGTGGTTGTTGGGACTGTGGCTGTGGGGCTGTAGCAATAGTTCGAAGATTCAACAGTCTGAAGGTTCATTGATCGGAATGTTCACTATAGAATCTTCAGACCAATGAACCCTTGATTAAAAAAACGATGAAAATGTTACCATTTTTCGGACCAATGAACCTTCGAACCAATGAACCTTTGGACTATCGAGACGCCTGCAAGACTATCGAGACTGCACATCTTAGGTAGAGGCTACTATAACACTTGCAGTTGATTCCCTGATGAAGGTGTCTTGGCAGTCACTGAAATAATCATGAAATTCTTTGCTATAGAGACTATACATATATTTCAAAAGTGAGATGCAATGTACAGATGGTTGCAAATTGGTATGGTGAAAATTAAAAAGAGATAAACAAGGAAAAGTTTGAACACTTGCATTTCAATACTTCATAAGGATGCCTCTTTGAAATATCTTTATGCATATTAACCTAATTATGTAGTGCCTTCCAAAGTGAGGCATTTTCAAGTTACCTTTTACCAAGTGTCATTATGTTTAAGTTTTTATTTTTTGTACAAAACTGAAGAATATTATTGTTTTTTGAAAATAGATTACAGCACATAAAAGAGAATGCTACTCAAGCAGCCAAAAGATACTGACAATCTGGGTTAGATTTACACAAGAACCTCAGCATGAAAATGCATTCTTCTCTTTTGGTTTTAAAGTTTTGAATTAATTATTGGTTTTAAGTTATTTTGTGAAACCGTCCAAAGAAGTACGAGAACAACAAACTATTTTGTATTGATCTGTCCGTGCAGGATCCCCACTGATGAGTAATAAGTTATATGCGACCTACAATGTACACACAATGTGTGAGAGTATGTACTGAATCAGACTAGGCCAGGTATTACTTTTGAACTGGGTTCATTTGTTTAAAAATAAAAATGACTTTTACTAGAGAGGTAATTGTGAGAAAGGGAATGAAGGGTAGGAGGATGCTTTTGTGGTTAGGCATAACAGTCTGTAGGTAGTATAATCCTTCACTTTGAAATCAACCTTTTTTAGCCTTCTGTGAGTGAAATATACTTTGTCAAAGTTGTGGATACCTTTACCTTTTATTCACTTTTAGCAGATGGTCCCAACAAAGAGTTGTGTATCAAGACTCATTTTAAGCACCCAAATAAACATTTTGTCCATGGTAAAATTTAAAAAGTCACAAGGCACTTAATTAATAATTTTGCTAGTAAGGATGTGGATAAAGATTCTTTTTTCCAATTTATTGATTTAAAAGTATTTTATATGCCCATGATACAATATGGTCATTTATGTAACCCAGTATCATTTTGTAAAATCTCTCATTGAAATTTAACATCAGGATTTCACACTTTGAAATGACTCACAGTATATTTGTTCTGGGTAGCCTCTTTCTACACGTAAGATTTCAAGGACTCGCCCTTTATTAAAAACACAGAGTTATTATTATGTTTGCCTTATTGCTCTACAGAATTTACCCAAATATTTTCTTAATGTGTGTCCATTTTGTTGGCTAATTATTAAATTTGTTAAATGTTTTCAGCAGGATATGGATGTTTTAATGTCAACAGTTCAAGTTTCTGGAAACCTAATAGTAAGAGGTCCTGCTGTTGTAGGAAAAAAGAGGGGGCCCTTGTAAACTTATGGTGTTACTATTAATTATGGTGACACAAAGGCCTTTGTAGTGGAAGTGCAGTGCACTATATAGCGTCGCATGCTTAACAGTTGTATCAGTACTGCGCTTAACACATTGGACATTCATAGATGAATACCTGTGGTAAAGCAGTCTCTCTTTTTGCCGACACAGTTGTATAAAAAAGGTAAAATTCATTAGCTGGGCCTAAGCTAAAGGTTTTAGAATTTAGTCCTTGGATGGTTAACCTGACTGTATTCAAGTCAATACTCGAAACAATGGTTGGCATGAACTCGCTGGTCTTAAAAGTTTATGTTTAACTTTATGAAAGATGACATAAGATCCAAGTAAAAGAGTGACTGTTATATTGGTAATTCAGTGATTATTTGACAGAAGTTCTGGAGTACCTAAGACTAATTGTAGGATATAAATGTTTCATTAGAATTCTTTAGAATGGGACAGCCTTACAGCAGTGTTTGCACTTCAATGTGTTATGAGTTTGCACACAAAAGCACCCGGATTAATACATTTGCAGACTAGTGCATGGATTAATACATTGGCAGACTAGTGCACGAGGAAGTTCATTTCTCAATGGTGAACCAATGCCATATGTGCATATTATCAACTTCCTAAGATAACCTGATATGCCTGCTCACACCAAATGACATTTTACTTGACAATAAGAAGGTAATTTTGTTTCATAAAGTACATGTATCACTGTGGCAATAATATTATTCAATATCCGACAGAGTATGAATGTTTCTCTTTATTTTTATGGAAAAGAACAAAAAGTTGCCTGAAACCACAAGATGAAAGATTTATTTGTGGCATTAGGTTAAGTTGAAAAATATTAGATTATATTGAAAGCATAGTTTGTTTGTGCTTTATTTGCTCAGACCTTTGCAACTGCATATTTGAGTTTATGGAATTTAGCACTTATAATTTGTCCCATAGCACTTGTTATCATGTTAGAAAAAATTGGATTGTTAAGGTTTCTGACAGGGCTTATTATCATCAAAATATAAAAATGAGTTTTTTATAGTAACTTATTATTCAGTAACGCATCTGCCATTTTGCTGAATTAAAAAGAATAAAAAATTACCTCCAAAATTTAAATAATTGGTGTTCAATAATTTGTTAATGATCATAAGCACCTTGGAGTGTTACTTCATCCCCAAACAAGATCTTATCATGAAAATTGGCATAGGTGAGAACAAATGTATAGGCTTCAATTCCCTGCCATCGTTTTGGTTTAAATGCTATTATCATGGGAGTTATGAGCCTCTAAGTACAATGATTCATTGAACAAAAGTATTGTTTTTCCTTTTTAACTTGGAAATCTGAACTAAGGCTTCAAAAATTGCTGGTAAGGTTTTTAAGTACTCAATGGTATTAATAAATTGGCGTTAAAATGCTGTATGTGGGTGATCAGGTAAAGCAAAAATTTGAGAAACTGATTTTGCAGTTTTTACCCCAATTAGACATTTGTGCAAACAAATTTAGTCAGTGAACACTGAAGATTCATCTACTTGAGTATTATCCAAAACATGTACGTAAAGACAGTCATATAGGAGTTTAGTCCAACCCTGATTGTACATGTACCCTTACTAGTTAGCAATGTGAAATGAAAATGAACAGTTTACAAACTAAATTATCTATTTTATTTTATTTTGCATGATGCTATGAGATAAAAAGATAAAAAGTACTTCAAATTTTCAGTGTGCAAAGCCCTATTGATTGTGGTTACAGTCTTGTCCCCTTATGTTCTATTATAATCGAATTCACCTTTAATAGTCATTCATAACATGATATCCAAACATGTTATTAGAAAAAATAACTTTTGGTCATACTGACCTTTATTGATTAAATTGTTTCTCAATGAATTAGTATTTAGAAAAATGGCTATGATCAGAAAGAGGCAAGAGCATTTTTTCTTTTTGATGTAACAAAGTTATTGACATGTGGAAGTGGTCTTTATCTATAAAATTTATGTCAGATTTGATGCCTGTCTCAAAAACAAGCTATATATGTCTTTAAGGTACCATTTAAAACACATGAAAGATATCCTGCTGTGTCACTGTCTTCTTTTATCTTTATAATTTCTTTCAGAACATTTTGACAATCATGGCGACAAAGAAGAGGAAAGCCATTCAGTCACGCCCCTTTCACTTCAGGAGGGAGGCTTCTTTAAATGCCCAAGCTACAATCAATGTTTTGTTTGAGAAGGAGCTGGTGCCAGTGAAAAGACTGAAACTGGACACTGAACCAGGAAGTGTTCTTATCCAGACAAAAAACAAAGCAGGAAAAAGGCATTCTTCTGTGATAGACGGAGATAAGTTGCCACAAAAGGGAAAAGATGCAAAATCAAAAGCAAAGGAATCAAGAAGCCAGCTCCTGCAGGTTGTGACGTTGAGGTCAAAAGACAGGAAGAAGAGACAAACGGGAGATGGTTCCAGAAGGAAAGGTAGAATAAACTTACATTCAACGGGATCAGACACAGTTGGGAGTGATAGTGACAGTGATGTGACAGACAGTGAACTGATTTCAGCAAGGAAAAAATATTGTGCAAGGAGAGTCAACTCCCCTGTGAAAAAAGGATCCAAAGTGCAAAAAAATTCCAAAAACAGTTCAAAAGCAAGGAACCCCCCCAGCAAAGGTGTCTCGGCAAATCAAAAGGAGTCTCACAAAAATTTCACAGATGGTGATGACTCACGGAGAAGTGACTCTGAAATAGAAGATGGCAGTGTCTCTCCCTCTAAGTTGGGAAAGAAAAAAATAATTTCCAAAGGTGACTGGGAAAGCTGGCGGCATTCAAGACGTCTGGCTAGTTTGAATGCTCAGGCAATTTTAGCTGCCAGTTGCGAATCTGAACCTCGTAGTCCTAAGAAAGAACAGTCACCTAAAAGGAAGAAAAAGATTGAAGACAATCAAAAAGACCTGTCATCCGCAGCAGAGGAAAAACAAGGAAGAAGGAGATCGGAAAACTCTAAAAATAGTTTGGATAAAGGGATTGTGAAGGAAAAAATAAAAGAGGTAATTACTGATTTGGGTTAAATTTCTCTTATCAAATTTGTCTGCCAAGAAATTTTATGCCAGATCTGAATTTCATTCTAGAATTGATAAATGGTATAACAATTTAGCATTGATCAGTGATTCACTTAAGCATTTTCACAGATCTTTAAAGCTAAATTTTTGTAGCATGTGGTAAGATATATATTTTATTCAACTGAAACCTATTGTCTGATGTTGCTGAGTAGAAAAGGGGATGGTGAAAGGAAGAGAATTTTATTCATTGCAAAACTCATCATGATTTTAATATTTTCTGAACTTGCAATTCTATAGCCTTTTCTTTTCAAAATGTGAAAGTACAATATTGAACCTACTTACAGCCCAGTCTTAAAGATGAAAGTGAGAATGGTACTGGAATTCCTGTCGATTGTTCGAATATTTTTGTGTCACATGTAGGGTTATTATATAGATAGCACCATTAACTAGGATGCAGGACATACGTTTTGTAGCAGCTTCCCTAGCAAAAAAAAAAAAAAAAAAAAAAAAAAAAAAATTAAACATAATTGCCATCATTTGAGTTGTCAGTTAATACCTTATCAAATAGAGAATAACAATAACAACAATGGAAATCTATAAATGTGTACACAGAACAGGCCCGTAGCCAGGGGGGGTATGGGGGGTTCGAAAGAACCACCCCTTTTGCTGGAAAAAGGTCCACTCTGGGTAAAATTTGCTCTAGGTACATGATGTTTTTATGGAAAAAGGTCCACTTTTTCAGAAAACGAACCCCCCTTTTGAAATTGCTGGCTACGGGCCTGCAGAATATGATGAAATGCTCAGAGTTGGTATCCCTGTGACACCCACATCATTAGCTAAAATGATACTGAAGTTTCTATAATGTATTGAAAATGCTTATTGGTAGCTATAGATTTCATATTCTAGTTTTGTGACCAGATTTGCTGAATATTTCAAAACTGGAAAAGGCACATTTAATTTTTATTGATAAATTTTTCTTGACAGAGAAAAAAAATATTGGAGATGGGACACGGGACAAATGTAAAAGATTTCATAACTGGCATTACTGTTTATCATCAGTTTTTATTACCATCTTCTGTTTTCACAGATTGTGAAAGACGTCAAGTTGGAGCCAGTGGTCAAACTTGAACCTCTTTCCAAATCTCCCAGTGGTGACTTCCCTGTTTGTGCTCACTCCCAAGTGGGGCTCTCATCCGGAGATGGGTCAATCCACTGGACCAACAAGGCAATGGTGCAGCAGACAACAGACGACAGGGGATGCTCACCTGTAAAAAACACAGCATTTCACAGAGTCAATCGAACTGCAGTCATTCAGCCTCAGCCTATAGGTGGCAGCACTCACAATAGTCACCATTTACTAGGAGGCTACTTTGGCCATCCAGGCTCTGCCAGCCAGGGGTCGCCAAGCCACGCCCAGTGTTTGCCATCTGGTTGTGGGTACCCTGGGGTTCCCATCATCCCTAGCACCACACAGTGCCAGTCCTTCACCCTGGGGGGCCTGGGGAGTATCAGTACACTGATGATGTACTCGCCTCGGCAGATGGGAAGTGCTTTCCGTGTGCCACCCCACTATGCTGCTCACGCCCCACCGCCACTGTATCCAAATGCATGTAAGTATAAAGTACGGATTTTATACACTAAAAGTACATAATTGTAGTTTATGGATGAAGTTGTGTTACCCTCTGTATCAATTATCTTTTGAATACAGCTTGTTTTTCCTGTAGGTTAAACTGAAGTTTCTATAGTAGCTTAGCAATTTTTTTTATTCATTTATATTCATTTTTCATTTTTTTTCATTCATTTTTTTTACAATGTAATTTTATTTATTAAGGTTACTACCAGCCAGCTGGTCCATTAATACAAGCAGTCCCGGATTCCTGTGTGTTGTCCCACGGGATACCAGTCCCCATTCCACACATCCCACCTAATGTTAAGTCCATGGCAAGTCCACAACCCACCTTAATGACAGGATCATCCAACCAGCAGGTCGGAAATAACCCCACAGAAGTGCCGAGGGAAGGCAACACCTGGGCACTGCCGGAGAATAAACGAAAAGAAAAGACTGAGACAAAATCCAAAGGTAAAAAGGAAAAACCAAAGGAGAAAGAAAAAGAGAAAGTGAAAGGGAATTTGAAAAAAGACGAAAAAAGTGATTTGAACTGCAAAAATAATGACAAGACAGCAAGACCAGCAAAGAAGAAGGATGTGAAGATAGAAGAGAAGAAAGACAAAAAGAAAGAAGAGAAAAAAGATGGGAAGAAGTCTGAGAACAAAGATGGGAAGAAGAATGACAAAGATGGAAAAAGGGTGGAAAAGAAAAGAAAGTCAAAGGATGAAAATGACAATCTGGAAAAGAACAAAAAGCAGGAACGCAAACCAAGTTACAGTGGCTGGAAGTTCGAAGGGCCACCAGAAGAGAAATGTGTTATAAGCATAGTAAGTGAAAATAAACCTTGCCTTAAGAACATTTAACAGACTATTAAACCAGTTTTTCTCAAATGTACAAGAAATCTTATTTACAATAATTTGCTTTTAAAGAGGACTCTATATATAGATACAGTTTGCTGTTGGTATTTTGATCCCAGTCTTTACGTTTGCACAATACTAAAGTTTAAAATGTGCAAATTTTAAGATACTGCCAAACATATTGGGTAACCCAGCATTGGCTAAAATGTTACAGCAAGATTACTGATATTTTTCTCTTTATGTTAGGATGACAATCCTCCAGTTCGTAGGATGTGCTATCCTGCCATCAAACACGATGATGGAGACATAATACGTGTTCGAGACTGTGTTCTACTGAAATCTGGACCAAGGAAGACAGACTTGCCATATGTAGCCAAAATTGCTGCCTTCTGGGAGATGCCTGAGGACAGTAAGGATACTATTTGATAAACATATTTTATAGTGGAATATTGATGCATTTCTGTTTTGTTTTCATTTTTTAAAATTTCATATGAAATTTGTAATTACTACAACTGGTATACAAAACCTTGATTACCACATTTTAACCAATTTGCCAGTTTTGAAATCTCATTTTCAGGTGATGACTGATACAGGGGATGGCTATGTTAGAGACTGTACCATGTGCATTTAGTTTTTTCTTGTAGCACTTTCACACATATTCATGATATAGTAGACAATTTGTGTAATTTGAAAAAAGAAAAAACTGAATTGGGAAATCGTTGGTTTTTGTTCTAGAGGAGATGATGATGAGTGTGTTATGGTATTATCGCCCTGAGCACACCGAGACCTGCTCACTACCCAAGACTGTCCCCAACGAGATCTTTGCTTCGAAGCACAGAGATGAAAACAGTGTGGCATGCATTGATGACAAGTGTTACGTTCTGACGTTTGCCGAGTACTGCAGGTAAAAGAAATACAGGTTTTACAGACATATTTTCACTTTCAAATTGGTAGTGGAAGCTGTCAGGTTATTTCAGTGAGTGAATGTTCCGATTCATCCAGTAGTGTGATATCACAGAAGGGAAAAAGATACCTAAGGTTGGACTTATAATGTAGTGCAGCCACTATCCATTGTTGCAATTGATAAAACCAGTGTTCTGAAGGGGAATTAATGTCATTAACCTTTGGGCAGATCCTCGAGCAGATACCTTGTTAAGAGATTTTAACAAAAAACCAAACTGTTTAGAAAAAAAACAGGGACTAACTTTGAATGTAAAAATGTATTCATTAACCATTGGTCAGTATGGGAAAATTGTTCTTTACTCCAGGAAAATTAATTTTTTGGCCAAAACTAAGAGTTATTATCCCTTTAAGCACTCATTTTTTACTAGTCTTTTTCTCTTCTGTGAAATCTGATTGTTTGTTTGGACTCACCTGAAAAGTTCAGCTTAAATTCAGTTTAAATTAATTGGCAGCAGAGCAAGTAGAGTCATCAGTATTGTAGCTGCACTCAGTCAAAAAAGGAAGTCTCCAAATACTGATTGAATTTTATTTAATTCAAACGTAAAACTGAAAGAAAAATAAAATAAAACAAAATAAAATAAATAACAGAAGAAAAAATGTAGCAAAATGTTAAGAAATACTGAAAACAAATTAAAATACAAAAAAACCTAAAAATTGATAACAATTTACACGAAGTACATACGAAAGTGTAAGAAAAAGGATAGACAGAAACAATTTACACGAAGTACATACGAAAGTGTAAGAAAAAGGATAGACGGAAACGTTGCAAAGACCCAAAGCCGGAGAAATTTACGTTAGCGTTGAAATAATTTGCCTTATCCCGGACCAAGTGTGCTAATATCGTTATAAAAGGATAGATAGAAAACGTTGAAAGACCCAAAAGCCAGAGAAGTTTACGTTATCGTTGAAATAATTACCTTTTCCTCCGACTGGGTGAGCTAAGATAGTGTCGTTAGATTCCCTGTGTCGTTCTGTGTACGAAAGTGAAGTGAGCAAAAAGAAATAGGGAGAAAGCCTTATATAAGCTGTGAAATGAAAACTGTTCAGTGCAAGGCTGTGGTACAGGCATGTGACGGTGTGGTTATGTAAGTGCAGTGGCCTGTAACATTATAATTAATAGAGAGAGAGAGAGAGAAAGAGAGTGAGAGAAAACAAGGAAGGAAAAAAAGAGAAAGAACGGAAAATGCACTTTGCATGAATAATAAGTAAACAAAGAATAAACTCAAATATAGAAAAAGATAAAAATATCGCGGACAGTTACAAGTATTATGTAGTATGCCTGAATGAATAGTGTGGAGATACCGGTATACATAAAGCAGTCTGGTTGACATTTACACTGGCAACGTACAAGTTTTGACTCCATCATGGATTGGTTGGTAGATGCAAAATAAATTGAGATTATGTGAAATAATTTATTTAATAAAAGACGTAACATTTTATCATTTGTCAGCTTTTAGATCCTCTTGTCCCAAAGTGTTGCTTTTGAAAGTTGGAAAATAACCAACAGAAAAATGTACTTAATACAAATAGGTCACTGAAATTGTTCAATAATGTTCAGCTGTGTATTTCAGGTATCAGGGCAGACTGCGCATGGAACAAGAGCAGTTATATGTGAAACCTTCAATAGTACCAGAACCTGAAGATATTCCCCTGGTCAAGTGCAGACGAACTCCAGTAGGAGCGGATCCAGAAACTGTCTTCATTTGTCGTTATGTCTATGACTTTAGACAGAAAAGAATTCTCAAAAATCCAGTATGAAATTTTTTGCAACTAGTGATTTTATTTTTAGGCTTTTATTTTTTGTTTCCTTTTAAAAAATCAGCAGCTTTATTTATATAAGTATTATTTTTACTATTATAAATAGTCTCTCTCTCTAGACAAAGTGGAAATAGTACATGGAAGACACAAACTTGTAGTTTCCACTCCGAAAATTGTTTTGAATCTTACAAAGAGTTAAAAATGATTCCAGTAAACATTTGACATCAGTAAATTGTTACTAGTACAGTTTTTTAAAAGTATTTCATAATACAAAATATTTGTTGTCATTTTATGTCTAGTTTTTTTTTTTTTTTTTTTTTTTTTTGACAGCTAAAAAGAATTTTTTGAAGCCACCGGTGATTGATGTTCTAAAAAGTACTGAAATAATTTCAAGCTTATTCAACTTTTATTAGTGATTTTATGACATCAATTTTGATGAAATGTTTTCAAGACGGAACTCCAGTGGACAGGATTTCTATGTGACATTTTTTGGCTACAGTATAGAATTGTTTATGCTGTGAAGCACAAGAAGTTTTTGTAGATGGTGAAGTTTTTGAACTGAAGATATAACAGTTGTTGTGAAGTACTGGAAGCACTATCAAGTGGAAAAGTATGATTTTGTACTACTTTAAACAAGAGGGGGGAGGTGAAGGGAATAAAAGTTTACAACTTAAATGCCATGTTTTAAAAATCATGGTTGAGTTTTTGGGCATGATGCTACTTTCCTTTGCATTAACTTAAATAGAAAGTATTGTAGAATTATAGCAATTTTTGTAGTTGAATCATAATGCTGATGCAAACTAGAATGAGATATTCTCAGAAAATGGAAGGCTATTTCTTTTTATTGAATGTTGTTCAGTAACAAGTTTTTAATGGCATAACCATTTTGCTAGCATCATTTTCTGTAGACAATATTAACCCTCATTCTTTGCGAGGATTATTTGAGGTTATTTCATTGTGCCTCGTGTTTGAATTCATTTCTGTAATACGATGCCATTTTTCATAAAATTCAGTAAGAAATAGGCTGGTGCTTATTAAGGAATTCAGGATTGTTTCCTTTACATAGTTCCAAGTTGAAGTCTCAGCATTAAGAAAAACTATTGTGCACAATTTCATTATGAAAATCCAATATTTATGCAATCAAGTAGCCAATTAGTAGGACATTTTTTTCTTTATTTAATATAAAAATGTGAAGACAAGGTGAATATCTTACCTGTCCACCAATTTTGTGCAATTTTCTTCAGCGTGCCTCTCATGTTGTATAGTGTATGGAACAAAATGCCAGTTTCAGATTAATGTTAGAGTCCCGTGATAAAAAGCATAAACATATAATGTATAGGAATGTTGTATCAACATTACCCAGTCTGGTGGCTAATTTCTACTTTATTTAATCAGAGATGTCCATCTGAGGCAGTTGTAATGAGGTGTAATATTATTTGATTATTGAACATGAAATTTGCTTTAGCAGTAAACTTAGAATTCTATCTTTATTACCACACCATTTAATATGGCAGCTTTTGCACGTGATCAATTTGCATTGATTTGATTGGCTTTGCTTTCTTGTCAGTTTCCCCCCATCCTGTGATGTTTTCAACAGTAAACAACTTTGTTGTGCTGGTTAAGTGAATGTCCATGTGAGGATCATAAAATAAAATATTTCAGAAAAAAAAAAAAAAGGGAATTTGTGTTTGAGCATGCAAGTAAAAAATTGGGATAAGGAAAACAATGGGAAGGGGGTCACCATAAAGCAAATGTTCAACACCCGTTTTCTTTGTGATCTTTCTTCGACTCTTTATAGATATAATTTATGATTGTTGACAAATAAGTGCATAAAATATCCAAGCACTGAAGTAAACAAGCATTTTGTCACACCAGATATTGGTTGGATAAAAACAGGCCCTCATTGAAGACAATACAGTAGTCCACATAGCTGGAAAATCACTTAAATCCCTCTATGCAAATAGTAAACCAAAACCAGGGCTGGAACAAACCACAGTATACAGATTCTGAATCACAAAATAAGATAACACCATATATATTCTATGAATACTTCTCATGACCCGACTTGGACAAAGCTAGTTTTTAAACAATTTCTTGTCAAAGAGAAAACCCCAATTTGGTTAAACTACACAAAAGAGCCTGCAAAATGTACATCAAAACAAACTATCTTATGACTTTGAGACAAATAAATACTTGAATATGACACAGAAATTGCATCAATTCTTAATAATAATAGCTAAAATATTTATCTACAGCATTCAGCACATGGTCCTTGTATTATTCAAACCAAGAGCACAGTGTACAAAGAAAACTTGCTGAAATATCAAGGAGGATAACATTTAACTCCGCTTCAAACTTATTTCACAATCCATTTCTCATTCCATATCACCTCAATGCTTTTAAACCAAAGCATGCAAAATATAATTTTATTTGTTAAAAAAAGTTTCTTAAGACTGGAAAGTTCCTCCGCATTTTTCCTATAGTGAACAGTTCACAGACATACAGTTAAAATATTGCACCATTGCCTCAAGCTTGGCATCTTCAGAACTGCGTTATAAAAATATTTTGGTTGTCCATAAACTGTGGATTCTCCAATCTACTTACTAATTGTCACATAAATATATTTCTTGATGGCTTGATAAGAATCCCAACATTCTGTATATAGAGCAATCCAAGTTTTATGCATCTCCTAATAAAAATATATACAGTTTGTTCTTCATAAGGAACTGAATCACCGATTTGTAGTGCCCGTCATAATCTTTGTGTTCATCATTTTCTTTCTTTTTTAAATCAGATCAAAAACATTGACCTCCATGGCAAAATGGTATTAAATAAGTCTTGAATTTTTCAAATACTGTATCAGGGTCTTGTAGACAAAGCCATACTGCCCTACAGTCTGCACCATGTGCATTCTTTGTTCACGGATCTTGGTCAGAACCCCAGGAATATCCACTGGCTGTAACAGATAACAAAAACAATTCTTTCTTCAAAATCTTTTATCATTTTTTCTCATAAATTATTGACAATAATAATTATAGATCATGTAACTGCTCTTATGTGTCATAATCCCCCCCCCCCCCAATTACTTATTTCATGATATCTGAATTGCTTCAGAATGATATATGTAAAAAATTCAATTACTGAACAGCTGCTCACTACAAGTGGCTATAAACAATTATAACTTTCGCTGCTGTAACATGCAGAAATGGACAAAAGTTGACAGTGCTAAAAATACTATTAAAATTACTATATATACATATTTTGTAATTCATTACAAGATAAATATCAGCAATTTACTTGAGAAATACGTCTTCTTCACATGGGAAACCTGCATAACACAACTATTTTTTTTCTACTTGAATGTATTACCTCATTGAATTCCAAACAAGCCTTCATGACCTCTGTGAGGATGACCACTCCTGTCCGGCCAACCCCAGCACTACAGTGGACAAGGATTGGTGTCCTGTAGCTGTCCGTCCTCTCTCCCAGGGCATGTCTATGTACAGACTCAATTTCATCAAGATATGCTGCAACGAAGAAAAAGAGAGACATTTATTATTTCAACAAAGCACAACGAAAAACTTCATAACTATAATTTAGACTTCATTTTGACCAGGTTTGGAGAACATACATATGATATTTGGGGTGGTCCCTTGGTTTTTATGTTGGCATGTTTTCTTCTGTTAAAACCATACTGTGACATTGGTCTTTTATTATGTAAATGTCATTTAACGGACCTGTGATATACTGAAGAGTGGTGTTTCTGACTTCTGCTATAGGGAATGTAGAGAAAAGACCCAGGTAAGGGGTATTTTGCATAACATGCATGTTTGCCATATACACCACATTCGGACATTTTTTTTTTACATCCACCACTGTATAAGATCAAGCAAAACAATATCTTGATATAATCATGTTTGCTCCAGTTTGTGCAAATGTCCATTGCTGAATTTTGTGATTCTGAGCATAGAGAAAAAATTATTGGGATTTTTTCTTAAAGCTCATAACTCATAAGGATAACAGAAAATGTTAAACCTTAGGTTGTTTCTTTTCACATTAAAAACACAGATTGTGCATATTAATTTATTGGCAGAACTAGAATAACAACTGGGGCTGGTTCTACAAAAAAATCACAACTGAAAATTGGGCTCAACTCTGAAATCAAAATTTCATGCTATAAACATATGTACTTACATAAAAACCCATATATGTCATCTGGGCATCCATGGTCAGGCCAGTCTGTGTATTGTAAGTGCCAGACAGTCTTGGTCTGTTTGGACTTAACATGCCTTACTTCTAAATTACTGGTCACATAACACAAGGAATCATTGGCAAACTTAAACTTCACCTCATACTGAAAAGAAACACAAGGGTAATGGGTCAATAATGACAAGACTGCACAAGAGATGAGATTAAAAAAATGAGAACAATCTGATGCAGATCAAATAATATTCTTAAAAGACTGGCCTCCATGGGTTGTACCCCTCATTAACAACATGCAAATATTTAAAATGTGTACAATTCATAAATCAATATACAACACTGAATGAGGGAATTGATTTGTTCAACAATGAGGCATACTAAAGAAAGCAATTAAACGGTTACAGTACTGGAACATTTAATTTCTCATCCAAAGGAACAGCTTCCTGAAAAAGTGTTTTCTAAGTGACTCCTTCCATGCTGAAAGGACATAAACTGATTCAATTTTTAGTTCAATTTTTGGAAAAAAACTTTGAATTCCAAAACTCAAAGAATGCAACCCCACAAATCTCACCTCTCCATACTTCTGTACTTCATTTGGCTTATCTGGCCAGTATGGAAAACATTTTTCTTTTCCAGCTTCCTGTAAGAGAAAGATTATTAAGACTTTTAAAGCTATATAATCATTTCAAACATATTTCACCTGTTAAGGATTGCTCATATTGTTACACTTTCAACAATAAGTGCAGGATAAAGGTATTTGATTTCATCGCAAAATTAGCAATAATAAATATAAATAAAATAAAAAGAAATCAAAATAAATTATAGTAATTCTGATATTTTGAATTTATTAAAAAAAATCAGTTAGAACAAACAATCAAATATAATGACAGTTTGGGGATAAACTGTTAAAAAGAGGAAAATCTTTTATGTATATAAAATCTACCAACGTACCATCAGTTCAGTCAACATGGATATCACTTGGACGTCCCACTCCCATACAAGCTGCCAGAAGTCACCTGCAGTTTTAGCCATTGGAGCTTGGGTGGCAATGTACCAGAAGTCTTCCTTCCTAATCTTCAGCTATAGTATGGAGAACACAGCTATTAGATATC